TCAATAGTGGTTCATATTTTATTTGGGAGTGATTCATACAGATAATAGCACTACTTAATGCACCTTTGTACTCACAAGTCAAGTGCTAATATTCCTCATGTAGAGCTCAAACTGATACCCAAGATATATAACATAACATGTGTGACTCTTAGGAGTGAACGGTCCATTAAGATCCCATTCAATAGCAAAGAAAAAAATATCTGCAAAGTCTCTGTTAGGCTCTTGATGTTTCTCCCACAACGGCTCTTCCAGACTCCCTTCCCCTCCCTGCTGTGTCTTAATGGATCGTCTTCCCAACAACGGAGAATTAAAATGTGAGCAATGGAAAAAAAGCAACTTCAAAACTACTTCAAAGTACTTTATCCTCAATGTCTAAAGTAACGTCAAAAAACATCAAAATGACCTAGTTTAAAAGTAATAGTAATGACAATAAAAACCATCCTTTTCTCACTGAGGTTTTGTCGTAATAGACATAAATTCTTGTGGTTTGTCAGGAACAAGAATGCCACTCCTTAGTCAATGCAACTCCCTGCTGACAACGGATGACAAAATTAAATCAACCACTTTTTTTTTCTCTCTTACACAACCCCAGCTAGCAGTATATGGTTTGAGAATCTTTTTTTCAGTTTGTAGAATCACCCTATTCTGCATCTGGCTTGAATGAATTTCAGAGTTCAGGATTTGATACATATCGCTATATATTCTTTTAAGGCCACTGTTTTTTTTTTTTTATGTATCTGCTTTGGGATTCCAATTAACTGTGGCACCTGTTGTCTACATTTTCAAAATTAATAAAAACTTATTTCAAGTTTACTAACAATTCAAAAGAGCAGAATAAAAAATATAATTATTAAGTTTGTGGAAAGGGTACTAGGCTTATTTACACTTTAAATTCTGCACATCCCAATTTACTGCAAAGTACTGTAACCATCTGCTTGTGAGGGGAAAATAAATGCTGGTTGTACTCTGTACATCATTGACCTGTCATATTCAACTTCATAGCAACTTCAAAATTCAGGTAACCAACATTGAATCCCTAGAGAAACAAGTCAAATTTATGCTTTTTCCTGATCATCATGAATATCCTCAAGATAATTTGATTCAAGATAACAATTTTCTCCATCATCAAATATTAACACTTAACAAATTAAATGAACATATGAGGACACATGAATGAATTACCTCTTCCTAATAATCAGCGAATGAACAATTGCCCCTTCGCACTGGCACACAGCCGGTACAGCTGGGAAACTGTCCTTTTTACATCAAAAACATTTACTACCATCATCATTCTTTGGTCAAACCTCTTCAAATTGCCTCACCAGACATGCTTACTTTTATAAACACCTCAATTTGAGGATAATACAGATACTTTCTTTAGCCTCTCTTCTACTGGTAAGAGTTTAAAGAGATTAGACGGAACCTTAGATAACACAAGTTTCTGTTCCTTATTCTTTATCCAGAAAATTGTTCAAACACAAGAAGCCCGGTCTAGAGCCGTAGGTACTACAACAGTAAGGTAAACCCTTTTAAGACACTTCTTTTAAAGACAGTTGCTTTGTGTGAAAATATCCAATTCCAATAACTGCTCAAAAAAAATATATAAATTTGGAAGCTAAAGTTGCCTATAAAGAAAATATTATATTTAAATAAAATAATGCATGAAACCAGGTATTTCTTATGTGATTTACACATTGGAATAAATTCTAAACACTGGAGAAATTAAAAATAAAAACTTAACCAATGTATAAAAAAAAAAGTTCTCAAATGGCTTGATATCTGGCTCATCACTTCCAGTCAGTGTCTTGTAGCTTTATACTTTTTTTTCAGGAATACCTTTGGATGTTATCAAAAATATACATTATATACATGCTTGGCAAATAAAGCCTAGTCCAACACATGCCATGCTAGCATTTAATACACTTAGAATACACAATGCTCAAAATATATCTCTTGCACTGCTTAATGCCACAGTGATGACTTGAAGGGGTAACTCTTACTCATGTATCATGTACGGCTCACACAAACCAGCTTTACACCATAATACATACCAAACAGGGCTTAAAGTAAAAGATGATATCATATGGATTGATCATTAAATTGCCTTATGTCTAAAACTCACACTTACTGATCTAGTCAAGGTTCGAGTCTCTAGTTCACACAGTCTAGAGATTAAGCTTACTGATCTGGTCATTATTAATCCGAAGGTTAAAGTAAAATTAAAATAAAAAAAAAAGGGAAAAAAAATTCTGTCAATCTGTGTAGCCTTATCCAAGTATCATCTAAGCCTCAAAAATACAGCTCTAGCCACATACAACATTTTGAGTCCAAAGATACCAATCGCGCAGCACAGTTGAAGCCTCGCTTAAGTACTAACTAGGGGCTCAAACCTGCTGATCTGTATACATTTTGCCTTTATTTTCTCTCTCTCTCTCTCACTCTTTCTCTTTCTCGTTCAGCTTTTTGTTAATGGACTCGTGTTTTCTTTTCCCCTTTTGCT